GCCATGATCTCGAGCACTCCATCAGTCGAAGCTTGCAAAACGATGTTCATGCACTTTGATTATATCCTTTGCACTTCATAAAACCGTACTTACATTTTTTGTGTCAGCATTTGAAATATTTTCGGCTGCACATATTCATCTATTAAATTGTCACAGTAAAGGCACGTTACAATGTTGTATTTTAAGCATGCATTTCATTGGATTCAACACGTTGGTTGAAAACATTCGCAGTTCTAGTTGATGGCACAAATGTATGTGTTTCCTGTAAAAACAGTAAGCCAAAGTAGCCAGTAGCACCAAATATGAATTACAGCCCTCCCCACTACATTATACATCGACAGCAGCTACTAGCTAAAACTAGATATTTAGTTAGATCTAGATGGGGCTGTTGTGGCTGAGAAGGTAGAGCGGGTCATCCCTCAATTAGAAGCACCTGCTGTTTAATCCCAGATTCCTCTAGTCCATGGCACGGTGTCCTTGCAGGATGGCCGAAGTTGCTCCCAAAGGTAGTGCAATCAGTGTATGGATGTGAATGAATGATTGAATGGATACAATACAGCAGAAAATTACAGCCTCAAACCCTTCTTCCTTTACTGTGATGAGAGATTAGGAGATGCAAAGCCTTTATACTATTGGGGAAAATTGATAAAATGTGGTGGCTACAGATTCAACAACTTGAAGCTGACCCAGATTCCATGAGAAAAAACGTGCACAGAGTGTCTTATTTTCAAAATGATTTCTTGTCTTTGAGGCAGCTACGGATAGCTTTGCCCTTAGAGAATGTCAGATCAAATATTTCAGTGAGAAGGAAAGGTCGCTGGGACGGATGTGAGCTGCTACCTGTATCTTCAACATGTTATCAGGCAGTATTACAGGTCCACTGTCCACGGGTAATGTGTGCATGCTTGTATTAGCAAAACCATGACAGCGAAATGACCTTGGTGAAGTAAATGACATGAAATACTGTTTGAAGACTTTCCCACTGTTCCTATCCAAAGAGAGTTGGGTTACGATTAAGGACAATTTAAAGTTAGTATCAGAAATACTGCTATTACTTTCTATCACACTGTCACTACCTGTACTCCCTGTGGAAAACAACAAGGGATTTAGAGAGAAGCAGACCAAAGTATCTGTAATATGCATTTTTTGTAATTATATATCCAGGATGTCAAACTGACTCAGCAGTGAAAACCGGTAACATTAGTATGTGAGTGGATGAATTATGCGCAGTATTCAATGACTTCGAGTGGTCAGACAATGAGCACGGCACTGTACAATACAATAAATTGTACAGTGATTAAATGGAGGAAGAAGACAATCACGAATCAGTCACTTATCTTAATGGTAGTGTTGGGCCCTCCATTTTGCTAGTAAACCTCACCATGTTTTTCTTTACTTAAGACAAAGGAAAAACACAGAAACATGGGGGGATCATGTCTGATCCAGGGTCCTATAATAACGACCCTCGCTGGGAGCCAGACCATAAAAAGAGGATGAACGAAAAAACGCACAGAGCTCCGATTGGACAAGAACTGTGTCACATGAGCAAGAATCTTCCTCTTTCATTTAACTTCCCGTTAACAACAGATTGAGACACTACAAGGCTCTCAACATTCTCGGGTAAAGATTTTATAACTTCAAATTCAGGCTTGATATCACATTCAGCAAGGTTTTTTTAAAAGATAAGTAGTGGCTTGATTATTATTTTGAGTTTTACAGTAGTGTAAAACTCAAAATAATCTGATTACAATTAAGATTTTGAAAGCAAAATTACAAAAAGTTAATTTTTTTAAACATTTTCTCCACCAAAATATTTTCTCCCAGGCATAGATACACACAAGATCACATGGCCTTTAAAAAATGACCTTTAAGAGGCCAATTGTCCGCTGTTATTTTGAATACTATCATTCTGTGATTTTTCATTGGAGGCTAACTCAATTTCAAGTCAACCTCAGTTAGCGTTGTATTATTGTCCCCTAATACTTAAAGCAAAGGAAAAAAGAAACAACGTTTTGAGGTATCAATTGACTGTTGGGTGTATCAGAAGAGTAACATTGGTGGGTTTTTTAGGGTTACATTGTTGAGAGTAGCTAAGCTAGTTAACCACTAGCCACTAACCACTAGCATTGTTGATTTTCAACGACCTGGAGGCCCGATTCCCCTTTGTCCACTGAGTTTTTCCACTAAGCTCAAACCTTCACTGCGCCGATCGAGCCCATCAAAAGAGTAAGAGACTGGTTTTCTGGGCAGATGAATTTAGCGTGTTTTATATAAACTTTGATGCTTAGGCCTACTCTATTTCAGGGGTCTTCAACGGTTTCAGGCCAAGGTCCCCCAAACTGATGGCGAGATGGACCAGGGACCCCCTATTCTACGGAGTTTGGTCCGCCATCTTTTATTTTTGAGCTTCGCGCTCTTTAGACAAAAGCATGAACCCGATTTCATTGCTATTCAGTGCCCGTGCTGTCATATTTGAATGCTGAATGTGTGCATTACGGACTGAAGATAACCTTGTGGTGGCGGGCGTGGTTTTGGCTCGTCTGCAGCGGGAGAGAGGGGGGAGTGGCTCAGGGAACGGTGCCAGGTGGGAGCAATTGGCATCAGCATCATCAGTAGCTGATGCTACTCTAACCCTGTGTTTACGTCTTTTTAAGAGCAGTGAGAGCGGCGGCGAGGAGGGAGACGCGGAGACCTCACTGCTCCGTGTGTGTGAAAACTTCGAATAAAGAACTATTGTATTGCAATCAACCCTGCCGTGTCGTGCTGTCACTGCGCCCAGAGGACCTACATCCTTGACAAACCTCTTCTCCATCAATGTATCTGTTCGCTACAATGTGTATTTAAAGACAATAACTTCAGTTCTGATTCTGAAGACATTTCAATTTGTGGAAAAAATTGGTTGAAAAAAAAAATTGTCTTATCAACCTAAAATTTTGTGACTCCCCTTTCGTACCTCCATGGACCCCCCTTGTTGAAGACCTCTTCCCTACATAAAGCTTCAGAAACACTGTATCCTGTAGTTGTGCAATGTGATTTGAAGTTGGGGACTCTGTGTCTATGCAGCTCCCCTCCCCCCGGTCCCCTCTGGTGAGCTGCATGGACACAGAGTCCCCAACTTCAAAGGGCTCCTCCACCCTCCTACACCTCTGCTGCCTTCCTCCCTCCCCCCTCTATCTCCCCTGGTGAGCGGCTTGGACTCTGAGGCCACTTCAGAGGGCCCTTCCCAAACTGACGCCGTGACCCCCCCCCCCCTTCCCCTCTCTCGGTGACGACTGACCAGGTTCGGAGACAGTTGAGGAGACTCCACCAACGCAAGGCTGCAGGACCTGATGGCATCAGCCCCAGGGTCCTGAGGACCTGTACTTTCCAGCTGGCTGAGGTCCTTCAACCCCTCTTCAACCTGAGCCTGAAGCAGCAGAAGGTCCCGGTGCTGTGGAAGACGTCGTGCCTGGTTCCGGTTCCCAAGAAGACGACTCCATCTGGCCTTAATGACTATCGACCGGTCGCCCTCACATCCCATGTGATGAAGGTGCTGGAGAGGCTGGTCTCTGTGAGAATAACTTTCTTTGATTTCTCCAGTGCCTTCAACACCATCCAACCACTTCTGCTGAGTGAGAAGCTGCGGGTGGTGGGGGTGGACTCGTCCACCGTCTCCTGGATCACTGACTACCTGACAGGCAGGCCACAGTTTGTCCGACTGGGCAGCGTGCTGTCTGATACAGTGGTCAGTGGTACTGGAGCTCCACAGGGAACTGTTCTGTCTCCCTTCCTGTTCACCTTATACACCACTGACTTTCAGTATAACTCGGAGTCCTGCCATCTGCAGAAATTCTCTGATGACTCTGCAGTGGTAGGGTGTATAAGGGATGGATAGGAGGAGGACTACAGCGCAATAGTGGAGGACTTTGATGGAATGTCCTATTGGTGGGCTTTTTCTGCTACAAATGCTAAAGGTTGTTGCAGTCACTCAGTTTAATTTATTATTTAGGAAAGTGACCAGGCTGGTGACTGGAATGAGGAAATCTGTAGCTAGTTCTGTGGCTCAGACTGACAGCACCTGTAGCACTCCAAATGTCACTGCCTGTGAAAAGCCTCGAGAAACGCTTCAATTAGTCCCAGTGGTGTCCATCGCCACCAGAAGTCTAGTCACTTCCATTGGCCCGAAAAATGCACAAGAAAAACAGATTTTTTAAAATGTTATTTGTTGACTCACTGAGGTTATTCGTCATCCCTAAATTCTTCTGACACTGCTTTTCCTTTTTCACCCAAATCACCACCAAAAGCAAGCTTGAACCAAACCCCAAGGGTGGAGCCAAACAAGTTATGACATTCACATTTAGGGAGAAGAAAACTCATCCTCCCGAATTAAAACATTTTCATACCTCCGAATATAATCGCCATTTTGGTCAAAACAAAGTTTTACTTTCACTTCTCTACTTGAAATTGATAAACATATAATAATTTACTATTCAGACAGGATTAGTGTGAACTAGGCCATGGAAACAATGTCAATGCCTTGTAAATTTTTTCACACACATATGACACCATAAGAGGGAGGCAACCCTGCGTCAGATTTACGACACTAATCTGGGCTAACTTGGCTCTCACCGCCGAGCCCAAACACCTATCCTGTCTGAACCAATAAGATTCCCTTCCTATGTTGTTTTGTAAAGCCATGGTGTAACAAGGTGGAGGGAGAAAGGAAGTCATTTAAAAAATGATCACCAAAGATCCAGTGCCTGCTCAAGAGTCAATCTAAACCAACATCATGGGTTTAGACCACAAGTTGGACTTCCCTCTGAAGAACTGTAACAGGTGCTACTTTTTAAATGTAGTACTAAAATTAAGGCAGTTAAACAATAGCTGCTACTACATAAATAACTGATTGAATATGGAATTATGGTAAATTTCCTGATATCAATTGCAGGCTTCAGTGAATATTTTGTGGCTTTTCAGGACTGAAAAATGGCATTAAAAACACAACATACATTTTTCAACAATTATTGTAAGAACTATTCATTTAGGTCAACGGACGTTTTGAAGAAAACTGTTAACAGTGAGTTCACATGCTGAACATTTTAGCAAACAGTTGCCTGTGATGTTCGATAATCACTCTCCTTTTCCAGTTTTTTGGTCTCGACCAACTCTTAAAAATAATTTTGCTGATATATACTATATAGCTTTTAAAAAAGATATTTGACATTGTTTGCAAGCTAGTATTTATTTCTGTGTGCTGTTTACTGCTGAGCGCTAAGCTGCTATTTTCACTGAAAATAAAGAAGGTTAAGAGAGTAGTCGGACAGAAGAAAAAAAAATGGAAAATGTCCTTGATAGTTGTGTTCACAACAAGAGTTATGTTATGGTTCTTAGTTTATCAGTTTCAGAGTCTTTGCAAAGTAATTTGACCAATCATTAGAAAAAATAAAAAACACATCCCACAAGTTTATCAAATGTATTTTATGTGTAATTAAACACAAAGTTAACGTGTGCTAGCAACATAAAAGTATACTATGGCTCACTTGGAGGGATTCCATGCTTTCAATAAAGGACCCTTGACATGTTTTATTTAATTTCTATAATTTGAAGGGGGTGGGTAGCACACACGTGACTTCAAAGCTCAACATTTCACACATATTACCATTATATTTTAAAATAATCCACAGTATGAGACAGGAGACAATTTAAAACAGTTATGTTTGTTGTGATCTTGGCAATCACAACTCAACCTTGAAGTCTTTGAGTTATTAATGTAAAAAATAGATACCCCTTACAATAGAGACACAATTTAAGTTTTGCCCCTGACAGGACTACATTGCTTCAGACCAAACACCCACACCCCTAAAGTGCATAACGAGAATCACAGTACACTACTTCACATTAAACTGATTTTCTCATTTGTATCCTGAAATAAGACAGTGAAAACAAAACACTTGGGATCAGACTGTAAGTATACAATAATGTGAAAAGGTAACTTTGTTGTTATGCAATGTGAGCGGTGTCCATGATGGTCTGTCCCACTGTCCTACTTCCATTTTTGAGAATTCCTTCGGTGGTGATAATATGACCCAAATTCATTACTTGTGTCTTGGGACCACCAATGACTGAGTCCTCGACTTGTGGCTCTAAGAAAGCCACCCTCTTTCCACTTGACCGCCGCTCTCCTGACTCGACTTCTCTGGGGTCTGAGCAGAGGATGAAGGCTCGCCCACCGCACCCTCTCGATCCCCCACCCCGGTTTTCCCGGCATCGGCAAGGGGTGAGGTAGAGGTAGAGCAGCACCAGAATGATACTGACCACACAGGAGGCCAGGGTGGTGAACGCTGTGTTGAAATGTTCGGCACTCCTGCCGACTGCTAAGCCGCTGGTGGAGGCCGTGCTTAGGTTTCCAACCACTACATTGACCTCCAAAGATCCGTTGGGGTTGTAGTGGTGCCCGCGGGCTGCCACGCATCCATAAGTCCCAGAATCCTCCATTTGGGCTCCCCAGATTTCAAGCGTGCCATTGGGTAATACTACTAACGGAGTATTCGGATCATTGGTTGATGAATTCACTACACTCTTCGGGGTTAGCCAGAACACCTCTCGGCCTTGAGCGTCCAACCCTGGACATGGCACTCTTAGCCTTTTGCCAAGCTCCACTTGGTAGGTTTGTGCCTCAAATGGCATCTCTAACACTACCTCCAGGCCACATTCAGATACCGGTCCCGATCCGTCCCTGCATGGATATCCACCTCTGAAATCCACTAGTGGCCGATACTGTTTCCACATCCAATACTCCAGCAAGGCAAGTAAAGCACAGTCACAGACTAAAGGGTTTTCCTGCAAATAAATCCCACCACCCCGGGTAAGAGCCAAAAGGCTCTGGACAGGCACCTCACAAAGCCTGTTGTATGACAGATCAAGAAAGGTCAGATTACGAGGCCCTCCAGGTTCCCAATAAAGCCCAAGGGGGAAAACCGTCAGTCTGTTCCCAGAGAGGTAAAGCTTCTGCAGGCTGTAAAGATTGCTGAAGGCCCCAGTGTTGATCTGAACAATCTCGTTGCCAAACAAGAGCAGCTCTTTAAGTTCCTCCATCCCGGCAAAAATGGACTTGTTCAATGCAATTAGTTGGTTGAAAGAGAGGTCCAGATGGAGGAGGTGTGGCATCGCAGTGAAGGCATCTACCTTGATATGGCTGATAGAGTTGCGGCTGACAACGAGTGTAGCAAGTCTGTCAAATGGCCGGGAAATCCAATCCGGGGTCTGCAGGACAGTGAGAGCATTGTGGCTCAAGTCCAACAGTGTGGCATAGCCTGGGAGATCAGAGGGCACTATGGACAGATTGCGCCCGCTGCAGGAAATCATATCACTGGCACAAAGGCAGCAGGGTGGGCAAGTGGCCAAAGAGGGACAGACGCCAAGGCACAGGAAGAGCAGAAAGGCTGCAGCAGCAGGTTTCCATTGGCTGCCACCAACAAAAGTCTTGCTGAAAAGCTGTGAGGAAATGGGATGCATCCTGGTGTTCCCTCGAAATGGGGTTCGAGGTTACTGTCTCACTGGATGTACACGTATCCGGGTTCTGATGTGAATTTGAGATCTGTGAAGTGAGGACAGAGAGAGAGGATACAACGAAGAGGTTAAATGGAAATAATTCTAATATTCTCAACTAGTTTTAGAAATAATCTACTGATCTTTTTTATCCGCCCCACAATTCCTCCAACATGGTTGAACAATAGACAAACTCTTATGTAAATTACATTGTGCCTTAGCTCAAGATACTGTCATAGCTGGCTCAAGCTATGCCAAACATCAGGAGCAGGAGACAGTGTATGAGATTAAAGAATATAACCCAACAGGAAGAACATAACTGATGAAACATACCCCAAAACCATAACGATCCTATGAGGTGGGAAGTCAGTGCTGTAAGTGTGGATGTGTGAAACATGGTGTGGTGCATGTGTGAATGAAGAGAACAGCTCAAACACAACGGAAATAACGCATGGAGACTGAAGCAGGGAGTGGAAGGCCAGGTCTGCCTCCTCTCGATCCTCCTGTCAACTGGCAGGGGCATGGCATATATGGACCTTAGGAGACAGGTGCTCTCCATTAGCCATCAGGACAATGCCCCACCCAGGCTCACCTACAGGGCGCCAGTTAGTATGAGTAGTGGATGGTGTGTCTACCTATGTGTGGGGCATCACACCCCCCCACTTAAAGTTGTGGTCTCACTAAGAACCACAGTTCCACACTCAACATTTAAAAAACACTGAAGTGATCACTTCTATTAACACAAAATTTAAACATAACCAATTAAATGCACATCAATCAACTTTTCAATGTTAACATTAGCTCATACCATGGTTTAAATCTTAAAATACTTTTAGATGTTCAAACCCCCAGAGTGTAACCACTCTTAGCACTGGCCCTGCACCACCTGGACTCTCCTTCCCCCTTAACAGCTGGATGCTGATGTTTCAGCTACAATAAGGCTGTCAGGAGAAGAACAGGCCAGGGCAGTCCACGCCAGTCTACAAAAAAAAGATCAGAGATTAGATAGGGCTCTAAACAGGAGCACGAGACAACATATCCGCCACCACATTATCCTTCCCTTTAATGTGCCTGATATCCAGAGCAAAGGACTGCAGAAGCAAAGACCACCTAATAAGCCTTTAGTTCAGACGCTTAAGTGAGTTAAGAAATGTAAGTGGGTTGTGATCTGTATAAACTATAACAGGTACCCCAGACCCAACATACACACTAAAATTACACTATTATTACAAGTAAAATTACACCCTATACCTGCCATAGGACAGCCATTTGAACATATTATAATTGATGGTGTTGGTCCTCTTCCTCCATCAGCGTCTGGTGCTAAGTATCTGTTAACAGTGATGTGCCAGGCGATTAGGTATCCTGCTGCCTATCCGTTGCGTTCCATGACAACTAGAGCTGTGGTTAAAGCTCTGTCACAGTTTATCTCCATATTTTGCATTCCGCGGGTTCTCCAGAGCGACAGGGTTTCAATTTTTACTTCTCACATGTTTGCCCAGATTCTGAAACAACTCAACTTAGGTAAGACATTCTAAATCCTCGGCGTATCATGCTCAAAGTCAGGGGGCGCTAGAGAGGTTTCACCAGACCTTGACCCCCAATTGATTGGGTATGGTATTGTGATGCCCCACTCCATACCCAAGGTTTCAATCCATCGATCAACCACGTTGCTCTGTTCCTCTAATTATAGCATTAAAATGTATTGGAGTATTCAATGTGACACCAAGAACATTAAACCAAATGTAAAACAAGAAAAGTTTAGAGCTGCAGCATTTAGGCAGTAAATAAACCAACAGCAACTTTTCAAATAATTAATAAATTATTTTGTAATAATACTAATAATACCATTTAAAGTAAGGACTTTTGAAAAGGGGACTATTTGTAGCCCAAACAACCAATTGATTAATCAAGAAAATAATAATAAGCAAATTGAAAACAACTGAATGACTAAATAGATAAATGTATCAAGTGGTTGTGAACGACAGATTAACTATTTTATTTTACTGCATCCCACTCTCCAAACACTGGTTCAGAAGGGAAAATATGAACCAGGATTTGACGACAAAACAAACTGAATAAACACCGTACGTCTCACCCTTCGTTCCCACACCGCTGCCCGTTCAAACCATCATCTCGTCCGCGTTCACTATGCGCACACCGCGCTCTCCTGGACGCGATGCCGATCCGCATCCCATGAGTGGAACCTGAGACCAACCGGTCACTTTGCTCGTTACCCAAACGGTCCGCCCGAAGTGTGAGGAAGGACGTGGAGCAGACGTGGAGAGTTCATCTGCATCTCGGCTTGCACGCCGCCGCGGAAGTGGTACGCCCCGGGAGCAGACACACACATATACAGGCAGCACACCAGTGCGAGAGAAAGGGGGGGTGGAGGGGTGCATCAGCACCACCAACTCAAGCGTTAGTGTTGTATTATCTATCTAAACTGTATTACTGTGGATTAATGTTGTTGTTGAAAAAAGCTGAATTATAAAACGATATGGCTTTAGGTCATTTAAATGTGCTTGTGGTAGTTTCATACCTGATGAATATGCAAATTAAAATGAAATATCTGTTCATGAATGTCTAATTTAAATCTCTCTCTCTCTCTCTCTCTCTCTCTCTCTCTCTCTCTCTCTCTCTCCTTCTCTCAAAAAGTCAACTAGTAAGAGTGACGTCATTGTGATTCCCAGGTAACAACGTTACACTGTCTTGTTTGTCCAATTTAAATGTGTGATTTGCACCTAACTGTAACGACAAAGGTTCACAGGAAACTTTTTTTTTCCAATCCTTCCAATCAGTCCACTTATTTGAGGTTGGGTCGCGGGGGGGGCACATCTACCAGCTCTGACTGGGGGAGCCCAAGGCATTCCTAGACCAGTGTCCTCCAGCTATAGTCCTGGATCTTTCCGTGGCCTTCTCCCCAGTTGACCTTTGTTGGATCTCACCAGATCCACCACAACTGGCGGGATGACCACTCACCCTATCTCTAAGGGAGATGCCTGCCTCGCTCCCCAGGAAACCTTTTTTCCGCTTGCACCAGTAACCTAGTTTGTGCGGTCATGACCATAGGTGAGGGTAGGAACGAAGATTGCCCGTAGATCGAGAGCTTTGCCTTCTGGCTCAGCTCTCTTTTCGTCACAGCGGTTTTGACTTTCCCAGTTTTTCAAAAGTATGGATGCTTGATGCTTTATAACCTCGAGAGCCCCAAACTATGGCTTTGGAAACTGTGGGGAACAGGACAAGATTTTGGTATCGGAAACGTTCTACTTTCCGTTTATAATCCGATGGTTTCCATCAGGGTCGAGGAGGCTTTGGATGAATGACTTTGGTCAAGCACATTGTCTCTTCACTGCATGGATTTGAGCTAAAGATCTCTGGGGCATAAGGGATTTTTTACCCTTTTAAGGCACCCTGACAGTGTAGTATATGTACCTGTGTATGCTTACAGTGAATGTCAATTTAAATAGTTTAATCTTCAGCAAACTAAAGCGCGCCTCATGTCAATCTCACAGCACTGCTGTCCATGGCGGTTCAGCGGTGGAGATCTTGCTTTGTTAGAGATAATGTCAATGTAGTTCCCCATCCGTGTCTTTAAACATGTCTTTTTAGTTTGTCTCTAATAGAGCAAAGCAGGGTTTTCACTGTGCTGTTAAATGCTAAATGCATGCTCAATCTTTGTGCCAGAAAATAAATAAGTAAACCAACACTGTTGGAGCTTGCAAAAACTGCCTTATTTTTTGTTTTTCCTGTAAAAAAACAAACAGCAATTGTAGGATTTGCTTGTTGAGGCAGAATACTACAGCTGCCGTTAAGCTGTACAAAAGGTTTTACATAATCCCCGTCATTGTATTCTTAACCGCATAGTGCTGAAGAATACAAGATTTAGCTTACAGCCTTATTCATTCACGTAATATGTCCACATTTGATCCCAAGTGTTCCCCATTACTGTGACCGGAAGCTTTATTTTCTGCAGCACTTATCTCTATCTGTGCTGTTTTACACTGTGTGTTTCCAGATGGTGTCTTTAACACCACATGACAGTATCCTTCCGCTTAACCAATTTGTCAAGGTTGTAACCTTTGGGCTTGAAGCTCAATCTTTCCCTCTTTTTTTTCCCGATCTTATGGATACTCACACACATGTCCGGTTCGATGTCAGACAAAAAAAAGGTAAATATATCATTTGGTTTTTAAACATGAGTCTATTCCATTAGCTGACAGAGGAGAGAGTAACATGAATGTCATGCTCCGGAAATCACACATCCTTTTACACTAAATGGGATTTGAATTCAATCCATAATCCTAATCTTAGGGCAGATATAAGAACTATAAGGTTATTTGTTTTTCTCATGTGATTCCACAATTTAAGGTTTCTTGTTGCAGATAATAGTGCAGACGTGAGGTTATGTGTTCATAGAAGGCAGCTTATTTTATGGCAAAATCCTATTTCCTATACATACCAACATATTATGGTAGCAGATTTGAGAACATGGAAGTGTTGCCTTTTGATTGAATCACATTTTTCATTATTATTCACTGCAGGACACAGCCATAGAGTGTGCGTGTTGATGCATTAACTGTCTCCATTTACACTTGAACACTAAGCAGCAGGTATCCTAAACCTAAGTGTGTTTTTTAGAACACAAGGTGAGCATGTTGAAATGGAAATTCTGTCCAACGTCTGTGCGCAAACCGGAGCAAATCATGAAGTAGATCATTTGTGTGATTTCACAACATTTGCAAGCAGAAATGTATTTGTGCATGAGGGACACAATCTGTGTCTTCAATAACGTAATTGAACACCTGTCTTGGGGTTTTCTCTTAGAATAATTGTACATTGACATTAATTAGATGCTTGCAGGTCATGATTCAAGCCTACTCAAAGGATTCTTCCTTTGGCTTTGATTTATATAGTCTCTCGTGTCACAATCTGTGCCGCAGAATCAGCTCCCACTGGTCACTTCCACATGACAGAGAGATCGAGAGCATTGCCATCCGGAGTAGATGAGAGAGAACACTTTGTTTACGCTTAAACAAACACGCTTTGTTAAATGACTTCCTGGGATACTGTCCTGATCCCGATGATCGAAACTGATCTGTTTAACACAGGAAACCATGTCCCAGTTCAAGAGGTCACATACCTGCTGTCCACTCACTCTGAACCTTATTGGAAATTTTCTGTAGGTTCCAATGCACTTCCATGCCACAGTCATTTTCTCGGGCTAAACAACGTGTTGCAAGACACAAACACACAAGCACTTGGCGCACGGCATGGCCTTTTTTTTGCAGCCATAAAGGCTTTGTGATTATTTAAACCCTTAGAACCAAAAGATAAAGCTTCCTTCTCTGTGCCTTATTCCTCAATGCCATCACATGAAACAGCAATATTGCACTGATGGAAATCCTCTTTTAAACTTATGTCGTTGAAAATAGTTTCTGTAATAGAAAAAAATCTATATTGATCTGCAGATGGAAATAATCCCCAACAAATATACTATTAACAACTTTGACATTAACTGAAACTAAAATTATGGAGCCATTTTCTTTTTCAATTAAAGTTTATGTATGAACATAAATGTATGAGCTGTATTTAAAGAATAGGAACCTAAAGATTGTGTGTGCCACAAGCAAGCTTTGGACTAGAACATATTGAAAGATGGACATACACAGTGTTGGTTTATGTGTTGTCTATTTGTGGTATTTGTTGACAGTAGCTAAATAAAAAATAAAAAAGCTGTTCTCACATATTTAGCTTAACATTGTTGGTCTCACAGTGAACAGATAAAAAAATATGCAGAAGGACCACAGATATTTTATGTTTTCAGTCACACATTCAGTCACACATCTTTTTAATCATTCAACCTGCATTGCCCAAAATGCAACCTGACCTCTGATAGGGAAAGGATTAGTGTGTGTGTGCGTGTGTGTGTGTGTGTTATGCAAGCCACGGCTGGTGTAGCTTCAAAGAAACTCATTCTTATGAGCTCAGTTCTACCAACTCATATTGACTTTTGTAAATTTTCCATCTGAGTGCTAAGGTAATGTTAACGCTCAGCCTCAGCAGATAGAAGGTCAGGTCAAGCAGCTGAGTATTTGTTCGTTACTAGTGAAGGGTTTAGAGCCAGCTTGAAGGTTATAGGTCAGAGTTAGTTAGAGGGGCTCGTCATGGGGCCCTGTAGATTTATGACAGCACAGGTTGCAGAGTGGACAAAACATCATTAAACATAGATGCAGGACTAATCATCCCGCAAAGTTTGGCATATTTAGCTCTGTGTTGATCAAAGTAGAAGAGAGAGGTAAGAATTAAAAATAACAGAAATTGGGTTTTGAATAAATTAACAGATTAACATTTGTAGATGTTAAGTGAACCAATTGAATTCCTTTAGTGATGCTTTCATTCATCTTAATCCATTCTGCTCCCCAGATTCTCTTGAGAATTATCATCAACAATATTATGTATTTTCTTTTACACCTGTTAAAGGTGCCAACTGAAACTTCAAATACACAACCACGGATGATGTAACACCCCTCGCATGTTTCAAAGTCTTTGCTCCCTCGGGGCGGCTGTGCCTCTGGAAACCGTGTATGTTCTGCACTAGAAACACGGGCGTTGTGACCTCCACACGTCTCCCCTGTTCAAAGAGCTACTTGTGTGTGTGGAAGACAATGTGTGGGTTTAAATAATGTAGCATGTAGCACCATGCACAATGTTTTAGACACTTGGACAAGTGTCCAAACCAATATTGGGGTGTGACCAATATCAGTCAGTGCAGCAATGCAATGTTTGTTTATTTCATTTTCATCAGTTGCAGTTACATGACGTTAAAAAAAACGTATTACAGCAAAAAGCATTAACTCCCAAAATAATGCAGCAACCACCAGCCAGTTGGTTTTCATGGGACAATTTACCCCTTTTAAGATTCCAGGCAACACATCATATGAATGTAACCTAAAACCAGTGAGTGGAAAATTCAATCCAACACACACCCACGGTTACTTACTGACCGTTGACAGCAAACACACAAACTTCACGAGAAAGTACTGAGTCACATTCTGCTCCATGAATCAAACAAATCTCACTTTCATCTGCTGCTTTGTAGGAGAGCACTGCTAGATTCCACAAACTAATGTTGACAATAAAAGACCGGTAACAATTGTGCGTTGAGTGATAACGATGGATGATATGAAAGTGTTACAGGGTGGGAAATACAAATTAGCAGCTTCAAGCAACAAACATAATTAACAATCAGTTTTGAGTTGTACTCATGTGGCATGTCCATCCCATACGACTACATATTCACTAGTTGTATTGGATGGACATCCATGCTCAGTTAGGTTCTGTCAATGTTCG